TGTAAGCGCAGGCGCTGAGAGCTGCTGAGGACATGTCTAAACACGTCCGGCGCTCCGGGCTCGTTTTACTCGTTCAGCAGTAGGTAAATGTGATTTCCTGGGGAAACCTGTGCTTTCAGCGCTCTGCCGGCTTTGATTTTTCGAGCCGCGTGAAGGAGCGCTGCGGCGCCGGGCCGGGCCGGGCCCTCGCGCCCGGGCGGCGGAGCTGGGGCGTGCGAGGAGGCCGGCTAGTTCTCAGAAACAGAAGTAGTCCTTGTAACTTTTAGGAAGAATGTGGGAAAAGAACGCTTACAAACACGTCTCCACAGTACAATTTGTAACTAACAGATTTGCTTTTTACTGCCTTTCTAGGTCTTTGTTTTTGATGTGGGAAAGAAAAGCTGGAAATCCTATGATTGGTCAAAAATTACAACCGTGGCAGCCTTCGGAAGATACGATTCTGAGCTCATGTGCTACGCTCATTCTAAAGGCGCCAGGATAGTACTGAAAGGTTGGCTGTAGTGTCCAAAAGTGGGTATTTATGTGATAAATTAAGAAGAGCCTAATGTAAATAGGGCTGTCTAATACCGTGACATTTTGCATTCAACGGTATACAAAGTATTAAAAAATCAGTAAGAGGATTAATAAGAGGACAAGGCACACAGGACTGTAATACCTGGATATTTTACATATGCTGCTATGTAGGGTATTAAAAAGAAAACCAACTGTGGCTTCTGCCACAGTAGTAACAAAACCTGTGGCACCTAAATAAAAGGCCTCCTCTAACAGGGAATATTGCAGCTGCAGAGAATAGGGAGGAAGTGAGAAGAGCGAAAGCCTGTAGAAGACATTTATTTGGGTCTGTGTGGTTTATGTTATGCACGCTACCCTAAAGACAAATATCAAAGGGGTTGTAAGTAATTTTGAATATTTTTCACTTAAATCAATTCTTGTGCACTAGGAAATGATTGAGTTTTAAAACATGAATACTTAGGAGCTCCACGTAGGTCCAGATATTGGTTAGAAAGACAAAGTCCATCATGTCTGCCTATGCTGTAGTCATATGTCTATGCTCTTTTGAATCTGTTGAAGCAAAAAAGGAGTAAAAGACCACAATGTGGAAAACAACAAAGGTAAAATGAAAAAGTATGTTGTCAAGGCAGTAAGAGACAATCCTTGTGGCTCTGTGGAAATATTGGAAGTAAACTGGCTTTAAGAAAGGGAGTTTACAATGGCTAAAAGAGTATTAAGCAGAAATAGGGAAACAAAATTGTAGGAAAAAATTCATGTTAAACAGTGCTGTCTCAGAGGGCTTAATATGCTCTTCTCATGTGGGTTCTCAAAATTATGTGGCGGGGGGACTTCTGTGTATTTTCCATGGAGGCACAAGGATGAAGTAGATGCCAGTATAGGTGTGGGTATTTTTTTCTCTTCTCGTTAAGGTAGTTGATTTAATAAAGGCAAACCTTTCCTTGGTATTACTGCTGTGATGCAAATGCATTTTAACGCTTGAAGACCTCTTGTTTAGGTGATGTATCTCTCAAGGAAATTGTTGATCCTGCTAAAAGAGCAGCCTGGATATCCGAGCAGGTGGATCTTGCGAAAAAACAGTACATGGATGGAATTAATATAGACATAGAGCAGGAAGTTAACGAAACCTCCCCTGAGTATTATGCATTAACAGAGCTTGTTAGAGAAACTACAGATGCTTTTCACAGGGAAATTCCAGGATCCCAGGTAATAAAAATATGCAAATACTAAATTTAACTTTATGAAATGCAAGAAGTTTTGCAAATGTTGTTTAAAATACGAATATGAACATCTTTATGCAGATCTAAAGCACGATATTGTTGTGAATGGTAAATTATAAACGTTAACTGTGATGATTTTTCATAAGAACCATTCTCTTAACCTGTATGAATTTGAATGGAAGTAGGGTTTCACTGAAATGGGTAGGTACTATATTATCCCCTTGCTGTGTGAGCTGCCGGTTGTTCGTATGGCTTAATGAATCTTTGAAAGTTAGGACAAATCCAGCATTCTAGTGAAAAAGCTTGATAAAAATTTAGTGATGAGTTTAAAAATTATTAAAGATTTGCAGCATGCTTCATGTTTTTGATAGTTTTCAGCTCATATTTTAATTTCTTTGCCGTTCCAACAGTGGCAGTCACTGTTTATGATCTGATGCTTATTTTATCTGCTGACCAGGTTCTCTTACAGTGCTAGACACTGTGCAACATCTTGGAAGTAATATCCTTAAACTTTTAAGCCTTTTTGAACAGAAGACAAAAGAATACCTGAATACCATACACGGTATTCATTTGTGTATTTTTCCTTCAGGTAACATTTGATGTGGCTTGGTCTCCAGCATGCATAGATAAAAGGTGCTACAACTACACTGGGATTGCAGATGCCTGTGATTTCTTATTTGTGATGTCGTATGATGAACAGAGCCAGATCTGGACAGAATGTGTTGCGAAAGCCAATGCTCCTTACTTTCGGACTTTAGTTGGTGAGGATGGACCCCCCCTCCCCAAAAGTTTGAGCGTTTCCATTTTTTCACACGAGTAGTTAGACTGCCTTTTCTTAAATAAGGTTTTGACTGTATTGGTATTTTCTAGGAGACTCAGGTAGGTCTGTGAAAATGGTATCCCAGATCCTTAAGACACTATGGATAGGCCTTTAGCAATTGCATGTTGTTACTTGTAAAATAAGTGTCTAGCTGTCACTATTGTGAAAAACACTTCTAGAACAACAAAAGGCAGCCAAACAATAGTGCTTGCAAAGGGCCTGGGGCTTGCAAAGAACCTGAAATGTTGCAAAGAACCTGCCTGAGACAAATGAGAACGAAGGCTGCTCAAACTATCACCATTTCTTTTTTGAAAAAAAAAAATTTTGCTGAGAAATACCTAGTGATGACAGTTCATACAATCAAAAATATGTTACAGCTTATCAGCACCATTGAGAAAGCTGCTATGGGTGACTCATGTTAAGTGTGAGTAATTAGAACAATTATTAGGATCTGAAGAGAGCAAGCCCAGGAATGTGCTGGTGGGAGGAAAGGGGAGATTACATGATCCCTGAACAGAGGCGAAGGTATAATGCTTATGTGGGCTTTGGCTATAGATTAGTTGTAAGAATACAAAATGTGGGAAAGGACAGTAATGCATCTTAATTTTTATTTCCTTCAAAACTAGGATATGAAGAGTACATTACTATGGGCATTGATCCTAAGAAGCTTGTGATGGGTGTTCCCTGGTATGGCTATGATTATGTCTGCCTGGGCTTATCTAAGGTAAGATAAAGATTGTGCATTTGCAATTGTATTGTTCATCTTTCTCTCCTTGGAAAGAGCCAGGTGGAATTTGGTGAGCTTGTTTTTGGATTAGGAGATACAAACTACAGTGGTTAGATGGGTAATAACTGGGATGTGAAAGAGCCTTTGCTTGGCTGATAATTAATAGGAGAGTGTTACCAAACAAAGCGTTTTTATCTATTCCTGGGGAGCCTGAAGCCTATGATACCTATGATTAATCAAGTCAAGGATTTGATTAAGGATATATAGCTGCTCTGTGTATGAAAAGAGATGATGTCCAAGGGCAACTAGAACACTTGTATCTGTCTTACCAGTATTAAGCTCGCTGCTTAAAGACTAGGTGCAACAAATAGCAAACCTATGACTGTTACGGTATTGCAGTTTATGGATAAATAATGAAGTCTCAAACAACATTACACTTAGGAAGAATGTAGGAGAGAATTAAAAGTGGAAGGGGAAAAGATAGGAGATTGTGTAAGTTAAACAATGAAATGAATCCTCCAGTATTACCAAGTGAACAAAATGAAAGTCCCATTCCGGAAATATCCCCCGTGTCCTTCCAGTTGTGACAGAGCTGGGGCATTATCCACAGGGCTGGTTTTCTTTTCTGTGAAGCTTGTCACTTAGTTGCAGCGGGACAGAGTACTCTGGCGGATGTGAGACCCAACTCATCGTGCCAGGGAGCTGTGCTGGCTCTCCTGGTGTTTGGTGTCGCTAGGTATGGGAGCTTGAGGGTCAGTCTCTTACCTTGTGAATGAAAGAGGAGGAGTTGGCCGTTTTGACTCCGTCTTTAGAGGATGTGGGCATTTTCTTTTTGGTTATTCTCTGTCTTACATCTAGCTCTGTCTCTCACTTGGTTTCTTCCAAGCTCATGTCACATGCCTGAGCTACGTGCAGGGTTACTGTGGCTTGCATGTAATTTGTTGCCCTGACCTGGCAGCAGGGTTCCCAAAAGCTTTCACAGACAGGTATTCTTCAAGCCTTGTTGTTTCAGTTTTACTGCAATTCTAGTTCAACTTCAGTTTTAGTCTCTGCTGTGTGGTACTGTTTTTGAAGCCCTGAAATTGGTGTGGTGGCTGTGAGTATTGTGTTAATTATGGTGATACCAGTAATATAAATTCAGTAGTAATGTCATTTGTTGCCAAAGTTAAATTCATGGGAGAAACTAGAACTATTCACTCAAATGAAGTTTTTAAAGCCTGTTTTAATTTAGTTCTGTGTATAAATAGTATGTCTGGCATTGACGTTTGAAGATTTGGTGGTTTTGTGCCCTCTCCTACCTTTTGTGGCATTTTGTGACGTTCTTCTTGGCTGTACTATTCTGGAGCTCAGTACACCTATGTAACATGAAACTCATCTCTCCCATTTTTGTTTTATTTTGTTTTTCAGGATCATGTTTGTTCCCTTTCCAAAGTACCTTTCCGAGGGGCTCCATGCAGTGATGCTGCAGGGCGTCAGGTCCCATATGGAACAATAATGAAGAAAGTGAATAGTTCTATTTCAGGGATCCTGTGGGATGAGGTGCAGAGATCTCCGTTTTATGAATATAAGGTAAATGTCTCTTTATAAGACGTCATGCAGGTCACGGACTAAATGTTCGTGAACAATAGTTCTTTGATTATAAAGCTTTCAGGGTTAGATTCTTCCATAGTGTATTCGGCTTAGTTTTTTCATGTAGTAAAGGTTGGCTGGATTGCATATCTTGAATTTTTAGTCTGAAAAGGGGATTCAGTGACTAAACACTACTGGCAGTAATAAGGGAAAAATTTCGAAATAAGAGTAATACTAAGAGACATAATTCCACCTCCCCCCGAATCGCTCCTCAGTTTTCTTGAGACGAGATGTACCATGTCAAAAAGGATGTTTTTGGTACAAAGAAATGCTAGAATTTTGTCCTTCGCCATTATAGTTACTTTCATGATGTTGATGACTGATTTAAACTAAAGTGATTCTGAGCAGCTCTCAAGTTTTTCTGGAGGATAACAAATACCACAAAACTGCAACTAGTGGCTTGCATGCATGTTCTTCTGCGTTCACTTTCTACGTAGACATAGTGAACGAGTCCATGAATGATTATGCTTTCACAAACAACACAGCGTATGCACTTCTTGTTTCTTGAGATGTAATTTTATGTTCCACGTATAAATGATTAAAAGCTTTAGTAAGCAATGATCATCTCAAAGCAATACAGCTTTCACAAAATTTCATTACTCTCGCTGAAACTGTTTATTGTTATGTACATTTATATAGCTTGTAGTTTTTAATTGTACTTTTCACTGCATTCAGAAGAGTGCATAATAAAAACTCGATGAACTCTAATGTATCACGTTTATTTGGATAGGTAGATATTGACACTAGCGTTTAAATGTTTTTGTAGGACTCTCTTGGTCGCTTCCACCAGGTATGGTATGATGACCCTCGCAGCATCTTTTTAAAAGCAGCATATGCAAAGAATCGAGGTTTAAGGGGCATTGGCATGTGGAATGGAAATAGTCTTGACTACTCCAGGGAATCTGTAGCAGAACAACAGACCGAAGCAATGTGGAAAGCCTTGACACCATAAGAACTATATGAAATTGTGAACCACTTGATCTAGAATGATGAAAATTGGTTATTTTGATGATGGCCTTTGATATCATAGATTCTGACTTTCTATTAATATACCATAACTGCAATCAAAGCTTTGAGAACTAGTCAAAAGTCATCTTGTTAATTTTGTATGCAAAGCAGTATTTTTGTACTTCAGAAAGTTTCAGTATTGCTTTATCATTGCTTTTTTAAAGACTGCTTATCTATCATCTTTCTCATTTTTCACAACTGCCTTAAGTTCGGTCAGAGCCTGAACCCAGTGTGTATGCAGTAATAAGTAGGACCAGGTTGAATTTACAGGGGCAAGCTAATAATGGGGAAGATCTTCCCCAACACTGCCTGGTGCTGGAGGTATTCATTCTGAGGTCACAGGATGCAGCACGAGCTGCATCATCTGCTTTCTGACATCCCACCCCGGTCTACGTTTTAGCAAAATCAGCCTGGAATAAGATTAGGTACAGAGCATTGGAGAAACAAATGGCTGCTTACATGCAGCTTGGTGAAACTTGTACTTGAACTTGATTTCTGCTCTAGAAATTAAAATATTTTTATAGCGTGATTATGTAACACTAAGTGGGTCCCATTAAGCTTTTTAATCAGACTCTTTGTTAGAGAAGAATATGCAATAAAGTTCTGTTTCACGGTATTTATGCATCATATGTGAATTTTTCAGTTTCAAATTCCAAAAATCTAGGAATTTATCTTGAAAAAGAGCACTTGGATGGCATTCTTTCCATTTTAAACTTACTGAAAACTAGAAGGCAGGAGCCTAAGTAACGAACTGTGTATATATTTTCCCACACTTTAATTTTCACTCAGTAGCCTTCTTTTGTTATCTAATATTGCTTCGAAGATAACAGGGCATTATATTTTCATTGTAGATAATATTTTTCATAAGGTAATTGTATAACTTATCAAAATATCTCTAGTTACAGAGAGATTGACTGGTGTGTATATGATGTTTTTTGTTAAATAAAATGCCCTCTTCACTAAAGTTCATGAATAGTATCCTCAGTTTAGGCTTTACTTGCTCCACAGTTTACAGCCCACACTTTTTCAAAACTGTTTCACAACCAGCTTAAACGGCAACTATGCCCTGCTTAAGTGACTCTGTTACTTAAACAATTAAATTAGATATGTGTAGTCAGTTGGGGGTTTTTCGTGTGTGTGTGTGTGTGTGTGTGTGTGTGTGTGTGTGTACTGCTGCCTGGGGACGCGGGTGTGCGGTACGTGTGTGTGTGTGTGTGGTTGTTTAGGGAGCAAGGGCAGGAGGGCTAAACAGTTAATGGGAAACCACCATAGCCTGAAAGCCCTGTAATTGTTATATGCCCGTCTGACTGCTGTGATTCTACAGGTAATAGAATGCTGAACGTGAAGCCTGCTGCTCCCACATATAAAACTTTTCTCCTGAGTGGAAGATGAGAGGGCTCTTCACTAGACCTCTGGTTCTTCTGGCTTTAAAAGCTGAATGCAAGAACTTTGCACAAACATTAATTTATTTGACATACATACAAAGTCTTAAATAGTTAACGTTAATCATTTATGTACCTATGCTACGATAACATGAGATATTTGGCATCAAATTAAGAGATTTTTCTGAAGTGCAAGAGCAGAGCTACAAAAAGCTGACTGAAGGCAAGATGACTATATCACAAAACTCTCCTTCCTGTAGCGGGCAAGGATCATGAGTTGATTTTTGTGGGGGTGGGGAGAGTGGTCAGATTTTTCCAATAGACAGTTGCCTGCTGTGAAGCAAAAACCAGCTATGATTTGTGATTTCTAGCTCATTGCCCCTCTCAAAATCCTATATCCATACCTTGAATATTTTTTTCAAAAATCAGCAGCAGCACTGGAAACTGGAGACTGTTGACACAGGTGAGGACAGAGAATTTCTGAAGGTGCACTGGCCTGTTTTTGTTCGATCATCTTCCCATGAATGAGACAGGATGATGTTGTGGAACCCTATCTAAGTTTTCAGCCCCTGAGGAGCTGTATTAGGATTCCATGTGTTTCTAAGAGCATACAGAACAATCTAATCTGTAGTGACAGAGGCAGGGCACACAACACAAACTACTGTGGATTGCATGTATTAAAACCTGACAGAATTTCCTATTCCTTTGCTTGGAAGATTATTCTTACACTTTTCAGTTTACTAGTTCAGTTTTGCTGCTACTGATAATATTAGTTTTTTATAATGCCTACTTCAAGAAGCAGAATCTGGATGGCTTAAGCTCTTTTTTCATACATAAAAACCAGAACATGGAAGACCTGCGTGTTTTTTAAATAAGACAGTTCAATCTTGAATTGCACAAATGTGCTTGTTTTAATACTTTAATACTTAAAACTTTTTGTTAAATCTTTTCTTTAAAAAAATAAATTGGAAAAAGCGTGGCTTGGCTCAAGACATTGCAAGTTCCTTCCTCCTTTCAAGAGTTGCACAATTTTTTTTATCCTATTACAGATGTCACTCGCAGTAATAAACACAGCCCAGTCACCTTTTTAGCTGACATCATTAACTTCTAGCATGCTATTGTAATAATGTCTGGATCTGCAAGGAAACACACAGGAATGCTGGAAAAAAATAACTAGCAAGAAGACATTTCTGATTACTCTGTCAGAGATTTGTTCCCGGAGCACGTGTAAGAACTTGAAGGAAAATAGTCTCCAGTATTGTAAGTAAAGCAGACCAAGAGCATCATTACAACAGTCCAAGACAAAGCTTGCATCTTCCACTAATTAAAGAATTGGCTATTCTCCATGTAGCTTTCCTGTAAAAAGGAACAAAAAAAACCCTGCTGGATATGAAATAAGCTAAGATTATCTGGGATTTTGTTCATACTGCATAACACATGGACTAGTATTTTTCTGTCATTATAAAAAGGCCTATCTATGTAGTATCAAGCAATAGCTAAAGAAAAAATAACTAACTGTTGCTCTAGTTCTATAGAAAACTTGTTTTGCTCAAGAATTAAATGCATATGCCCCCAATTGGGGGAACCTTTGTTTATAGGAATACTTGCTTAGCAAATATTTTGTTTACAAAAGACTAGCAACATACTTATGATATTAAACAATTTGCACTTTTAAAATAATTTGGGTTTTAGCCACATTACTAGGTTAAACTGCATGTTTACATAGTTGAGTAGTGTTATAATAAGAGTAAGCTTTAAAAAGAAGCAAGCGAGTTGCAGTACCTCAGTAGCTTAGTATACAAATGCCACAATATTTACATACTTGATGTCTTTTCACAACAGAACTTTAAGACTATTAAAAAACAAATGCTTTGAAATTCTGAGCTTCTATATACATTACAGAGCTTCAGTAGACATTACAGCCGCTAAGTTGTGTCATCCCCCTAAATTCCTGATTTTCCAGAGTGGAGAATTAAAGCTGAATGAATCTTCTTCTGTGTCAGTTCTGCTCTCAGCGCTCGTAAATCAGATGCTGCTTGTTTTCTCATCTACAGAAGAGCAGTAATTTAAGGAATTGTAATTAACAGAAGTTTTTGGAGTTGATATGCATATGCATTTAAAATTGAATTTCATGCAGGATGGCGGCATATACACTGTATCTTTTCATAAATCGTTTATGTCTAACAAGATAGCCTAGTTCTAGCACTGCTTTGTTTCTGTACTTTGCCTTGTTGTTGTCAAGCCTCAACCCTAGAATTCAGTCGTCTTTTCACTTTTTTGTTATACAATGGCCCAGCTTTAGGAGGCATGATGAGTGCAGCCACCCTAGACTAGCAAATAAATAGGGGTGGGGAGGGGGCGGGGTGTGCGTGTATTCTGTCACATCGAAGACACAAATTTCAAGAATTCAAAGCTGAAAAGCTATCTAATGTAAATGCCACTACCATTAATTCACCTTACAAAGGAAGCCATAGGCAGTATAGTGATGGATGCCCATGAAGAGCACTGCTCTCAGGCTGGACTGCCATTTCCATTTCTGTTCCTTGTACCAGTTCCCCCACCCACCCAACCACGGGGGGGGAACCCACTGATCTACACCTGACCTAACATGGTCCTTCAGTTACCTTTACAGTGGAACAGGAATTTTATGAGAGTGTGAAGCCCAGCCTATGCAGTGCCTTGACAATTTAAGTGCTTGACTGCTATGCATTCAAAATCAGCTAATAACCTGAGGTTCTGAAGTAATTTGGCTCAAGTGATAAAACTACAATGACACCAATACCATAAAAATTCAAAATAAGAACCGTTCAGCTAATATTTATGTCTTCCAGTGTTGGAGGAGAATCTGCACTTTTATACAGAATATTTCCACTCTCTCTTTTAATTGAAAGACTCACTAGGCTAGAGGCAGAGTACCTTAATTTCTATTATGAGTTTCATTTTTGTGTCATCCAGCTTCCTCCTCAGTTGATCAATATCATGCTGTACTGTAATAATCCGGATGATTGTGTTATTCTATGTGAAACAACAACATAAAAGCTTCAATGTATTTCTGCATTATTAGATAATGTATCATCTCTTTAGTCATAAGGTGTGAATTCCCCACTCAGAAATAATTCTGTAAATGCTTTTTCCAACGCTTTTACTTTCTTCCAGTTCCTAATACATGCTTGGCTATCCTGTTTTAAATGCCTTAGTCTGCAAGCACTCTGCTCTTCCACAGGGCAGTTCTCTTCAACAGTGAGTCCTTCAGCTAGGTGTGAAAGTTCTTTCATACCCTGTTGCTTTGGGAAGTTAAAAGATCCAGAGCAGCTCTCTTGAGTAATAGCACAACATTTTGCCATGAGTTTTTATGGGTACTTTCCACATACATATAATAAAAAGGCACAAATAGTCTTTTCTTTTGTTTCCCTCACAGGCTTACCCTCACTTTAGCCCAGAGGCAACACATTTATTCATGGGACTGCTCCACCCACGTGAATGGCTAACGCAGATAAACCCTTCTTTTCAGCGTTAGCTGTGGGTGGTCCTAGTTTTGTTTGAATTAACTGTAAAACTCAAATTCATATTTTCAAAATGGAGATTCTGATACTCAGCTAGCGTAAGTCAATCTTGCTCCCTTGGAGTCAGTAACCCTGAAGAATGGCTGTGCATGTGGTAATCTTCTCTTGATGGTCCAAGCCTTTAAAAATGCTATTAAAGTTCTAGCTGAAACAAACGACGGGATCAGGTTGCCTACACAAAGAGTCATTAGGTGGTAGCTGTAGCCCTCTGTTAACTCCTGCTGTAAGCTCCCCCTTCCCAAGGGCTTTAGCTGTCTGTGTTCAAGGCCCACCTCTGACAGAGCACAGCTGTGTAACCTTGGCTCAGACGGCTGAGAAAACATGGAAAGCTACACAACGGCAAAGTAGTCGGGGGCTGCTCAGGCATCACTGGATCATTGGATTCAGCCATCAGCGGCACCAGTGCTGAAAGAGCTGATGGAAGGCACCAGCTCAGCAGCACCGAGGATCAGTGCCACAAAGCCCAGAGGCTGTCCCTTCCCTGTCTGACGGATGCCTGCCTAGTTAACAGATTTAACTATTGGGAGGGGTGTTTTCCCCATTCCTTTTATCTTTTTATTAATTCCTCTCTGAGCTTCCCATGATTTGAAAATGTATTTCCATTAACAAAGAACTCATAGTTGCACAACAGTTCAGGTGCAACCACTCCAAATGCCTCAGGGATTTTTTTTCTCCTTGAAACACAACTAGAATTCATTACCTCTGTACTTGAAATTGGGGATGATGAGAACCATGTGGAACTGAACAAGTCATTAATCACACCGAACAAAGGGGTTTTTGCTATCAGAGGACATGAAACAAACACAAAGCAGAAAGACTTCAAATGGTCAGACTCAAGAATTTCTTTAGTCTTACTAAGAATGGGATTCAGAAATTCTGTATTTGCCCCACCTCAAATCACTGAAAGACATTATTTGGTTGTTAGAGCTACTTTCTAAGTCATTGGTTGATGATGAATTGGTTACTTGCATTTGTATTTTATATAAAAATCAGGTTGTGTAAAAAGATGATAGATTAAATAATATGCACAAATACCTTGGAATTTGTTGTATTATTTGGTCGTTTTCGAGTATCTCTGGCTTCCAGTTGCAAAAGTAACTTCTTGTAGTAAAGCTCTAGATCGTGTCTTAGTCTGTTTAAAATGTCCTCAAGTGAAACTGTAGCTTTTTTTGTTTCAAAGTACTTCTTTTTCCATTCCTCACGAACTACAAAGGAAACCACAGTACTGTTTAGTCTTGTTCACCTTATCATAAGATGTTTTGACGACAGTAACAACCCAGTAACAACTAACTGATCTTACAAGATTCAGTTAGCCAATACGCATATTAAAATATAGCAGTAGCTTTCATTAGTGAAAGTCTTTGCTAAAGTGAAATTTGTTATAAATTGCAAAAGAATTTTCTGAACAAGTAATCCCCTAAACAAAGGGCTCTGACTGTCCCGTGACACATGACAGAAGCTCCAGAACCTAAATTTCATTCAGCCTGGCAGTTCTGCATTTTTTGGCTGAACAAGGACTCCAGACCTGTGCAGACTGGTATGCCCAGAACCATCTGAACTCCACAGCTTCACAGCCTTTCTTCCAAGGCTTACTTTAGGAAAGCAGGAAACTTCCTCTCAGATACTTAACAAAAAGAATCCAGCTGTTGGAGGACTACAGAATATATAACTTAGAGTGACTGCCACTGTGGCAATCTTAGGAGGAAATTAAATATAGACTGTATTGCTGTGCCTACAATATATGATGTACCCTTCATTCCTTGTGAAGAAATGTTTGTGAAAGCACTTACTTAATGAAACTCTACAGGTCTGACTAAAATAATTGGGAGGTAGAAGCACTTCTGTAAGAACCTGCAGAAGCTGTTTGAATCCTTGTGAAATAACCTTTAATTTACCTAACTGGATAACATAATGTAAGACAATGCATTTAGGATTCATCTCAGCAGGACAAATTAGCTTGCCTGCAGCTCCACGCTACCACAGATTCTCTGCTTCTAAGTACCCAAGCTTTCTTTTTTAAAAAACAACTTCGCCATGCTGCAGAGTGCAGTGTAGCCATGCCCTTAGAGAATAACTGGAAGAAGTGGCTTCTCCTTTGCCAATAAAGATACAGATGATCCAGCTGAGACTCCTAGTGATTCAGCTCTATTTAAGTACCAAGACAATGCTCTCAAAACATAGAAGTAATTAAAGCTCATCTCTGTATTAACTGGAAGGTGACTTAGGGAGACTAGTTTAAGTGTAAACTTGAAAATTTTAAGAGTAAATTTTGGGAAGGATTTCAATGAGATTCTACCCTTTCTAAAAAATGAGGTCTGTCAAGCTTGTCATGACAGCTTACAATTTCCATGCCTTATGCTGAATACCATTTGATAGGAGATATAAAAAGTATGATGCTTTGAAGCATAGTGGTTTGAATGGAAGTCCTAACAAAACCTGAGTAAGCACCATTGTTTAAAGGCAGTTTTAGAATATGTAAATTGCCTTGGGCCTCAAGGAAGAAGTCTGAAGTAGCTCTCCGGATACTCTATGTCCATATGTGACATAACTTCAATGGTTTATAAAAGCCAGGATATTTTTTAGATTTATAAGACTGCCACAAAGGAGTAGAAGCAGACATTTCCACCTTGAATCTATCTACCATAATGTTATACAAATGAGCCTTCTCAGAGCTACTGCTTAGCCAACTGCTCTTTTTATAATTAAGCTCACTGACAAATAGACAAACATTTTCACACTGGTTTCAGTGTCACTTCTCAATCATTCCAAGTTTCAACAGAAATGAAAACTGTACCATGGTATCGCCTCAGCTTATTCTGTTCCAGTAGCCCTTTGGCTTTTTTGAGCAGGTCTTCTCTAGTTTTTTCCACATTTCTTCTGTCTTTCTTCATCTCCTGCAGTTGTTTTGCCATCTTGTTTTCTAAAAATATAATTAAATTCAGCAAGTTTCTGGATACTGTAAGTGGGAAAGATCAACCAAGATTTTCATAATGCAGCCACCATAAACCATGTCAAAACCTCTGTCAGAACAGACAGTACAAATTCTTATATTTTAATATCCTGTCTCTGATTCTTGGAAGAGGCTGGTGTACTGGTGGAAAGGTGGGAAAAAAAAAAAAAAAGAAATTCAGCATGCATCCAGCCATTCATACGCACACAAACAAGTAAATACCCTTTTAAATGCCTAGACTATGTATCACGAAAACTACTTTCAGACCACATTCAGCTATATGTTGCATATGTTGAAAACTGTTGCCATGAGGCCAGAAAAGCCTCCAGAGGACTACATTCTGCTCAAAATATTTTGTGATGTAAACTGTAGCAAAATGTTTCCTTAAACTCTAACTAGTATAGGCAGAATAAGGTATTTCAAGCTTTCCCTAGTCTGCAACAATGGGTCAATCCTTCTCACTATCCTTCTTCTAGATCACGAGCAACGATCCTTAGCCATACTCTTAGCAGTCATCTTAGCCACATTCTCACTTGAGCCAACAGTATTTTATCCAATCTCGCTCACTACCTCCTTCCATCCACAAGACCACAAGAGAGTTTTCAAGCACTGGGAACCTTTGCTATGTTCTGTGAACAGCTATGCAATAACTGCTTGGAATTTTCCAACCACAATTTAACCTTTGTAACAATATTGTGAACAAATGTATGTATGTATGCACGTACAAGTTCTTTCAGAAAAATATACATTTTTCTCTTCATCAACTGTTCAGTCTTGATGCCGGTTCACTCCCCTTTGACTTCTTGGATGCACGTACTTACTTTCTGCCTGAATTGCAGGAACTTGAGCTGCGTTCACAGAAAGTGCCAGAAAAGGTGGGCTAGGAGGAGAAAGATATTCTTTTGGACATGTAAGAGGATTTTGGTTTTTCTCATCTGCCTAGAGAGCGAAAGGACACAACAAGACGACATAATTTGTAATCCTAAATAGTTACATTGCACATGAGAAAAGTCTTTATCTGATTTAATACGAGCTATAAGCTATCATCAGCCATCCCACACAGCTACGGCCTGCCTGTAAGTGACCTGAATGAACAGGAGGGCTCAATCTGAATTCTGAATGTAAGCTTTTTTATACCGTGTCATCAGGAGAGATGATTACCACATTCTAAACAGCCAGACCACTGCAAACAAAATTACAGAGAGGAACACATGGGCAAAATTTGGGCCAAAGTACTTTAATCCTTGGGGATGGTAAATGAGAAAGAAAGAGCTTAGAAGAAAAAACAACTTTCTGAGATTCGTATTGGCTTGTAGAGTTAACAGAAGGGTATTGTATTTACCAACTAATAAAAATTGATACAGAAATAGTTAAACATAGTTAAATATGGACCTCCACAATGCCACGTATCAGTTAAACAGAATGTCAATATTTTATAACTATAGTGGGCTATTTCACACACATTTGAGAGAGACACTTTATTAAATGATGAATCTTTCAGTACCCCTGAAAAATTACCCAATTCCAGCATTTTCTATAATCTTGTATTTTGTAAACTTCTTTTAACTGACAAATTAAGACACTTATTTACAGCTAACTTTTACATTCTACAGCAGTAGACAAACTATGTAGATAAATCCATTAACACTTGCCATATCCAATTCTCTGTGCTAAGGAAAGAATTCTTACTGGAAACTGTGCTTCACATAATTGGTATGAGAGTCCTTCTGAGCAAAAAACAATCCCTTAAAAATATTTTTTCAATAACCAAAGCAGGGTGAAATTTGAAACAATAATTAATCCCAAAGACAAATCTACAGATGAAAAACCTAGTAGTAGAATATATGTTTTTGGTGGGGGAAGTAATGTTTTTATTAGACCAAATGGCAGTAGGCAAAACAGACAAGTTTGGCCCCTCTGAAGAAAGGTCACTGTGCCTGAAATGCCTCTTTGCTTAAAAGCTTTGTAGAACGGTATGCGAAAATGTTGAAAACTGTCCCTTCTCTTCAGTCTCCTCTCCTTTCAGAAAGGCAGCCTACAGGATGTTTCCATCTGCTCTCCCTGTCTTGTCTCCCCCAGGAAAATGTAGACTATCTCTAAATATTCTTGTGCATGCCCGTAACCCCACAAGACACTCCCATGAGAGCCTGGAATTAACTAGCCTGGTTCACTGCTTATCAAAGGCTGGACTTCCCATTTCCAAAGTAAAATTTATAAAAGCAGATTTTCAATGTCATTATTATTTTCATAAGACTCCACTACCATTCCACTCTTCTAACTACCAGACAAAAATCACTTCTGTGCAAGAGCTCAAATGTGACAGTTTCACCTATTTATTCCCTATTACCAATGTTTCAATTGCATATATATGATTGCATGTGCGTGCTTTGTACCTTCCTAAATATGTTCCAATTATGCTAGATCGCACATATGTTTTAAAGAATTGCAGGTCTTTTATCAGAAGTTTTGCTTGAGCAAAGGCTTTTAAGATTCATCCCATAAGAAATATGAATTTATAAAAATGTCACTAATAAAACCAATACAACATTATTGTCAAGCAACTATGAACAAATCCAGCTAATATTAATAAGACTGAAATAATTACTGTATATCTAGTTTCTATTAAATGATAACCACAGCAATAACAACTTTTGAGGATTTCATTCTTTTATAAATAGTTGGTTTTTCATTAGCAAATCTGCAAGGTAGCAGACTATGAATTAACTTTTCGGAATTATTCTCAAGCCTACATTTGAATATTTCATCTTTCTAATGAGTTAGCAGTCCTATAAAATTAAGATTATTTCTATGTGGAGGATTGTGTTTATTGCTCCACACTACTAATACATGTTACCTTGGAAAACACACCTGGTTATCCTGTTTTTCACCAAGATGAGCTACAGATTTGCCAGTTCTGTACCGCTGCAAACTAAAGACAAAACAAAGAAGCAAGTGAAAATTTATGTAATTAAATGCTTTCTTTTTTTTCCATTCTCTTTCATTTATTTGAAGTCTTTAAAATAAGTTTCTAATTACAAATTAATATTACCCATTATTTTATCAGAATCATTATATACTAACCTTTGGTTATTATATATATATTCTATGGTTTGGCCTTCCCACGTTTTAGGAATTTCAGAATCCTGTGTTCTGCTCCTTCTTAGTTTGGTATCTTCTTGATGCTCATTATTTTCCACGTTTGTAACTAGCAATTCAGGGTTTAGTGGGTTTAGTTCTGTGACAAGAAAATGAACAAAATGTTTAGTTCACACTCAAAAAAAAAAAAAAAGATCAAACTCTTTTGAGTGCCAATGCCTTGACTTTCCAACCTGTATTAGAAATTCAGTGAATCAATTCAATAAACAGTCTTCTCTCTGGGGTATGGAAACGTCGTATGAATAATAGAGGAAAGAAATAAAGGTGAAAAATGGTCTTCTGGTTTTGAGAATTTATATCTAAGTAATTCTGGTAACTAGTACAGGGAACAATAACACAGATAAGGAAATCACTTAACTATTTCACCTTCCCGAAGTTAATTCTGTATCTAACACTTTCCACCTTTAAGTGACTGAAGATCCCCTACAAACTAGAGCCAGCAAAGAAAGGGACAGTAAAATGTTCTACGTTTAATAAGTTAACACATAAATGTTATCTACTTAAAAATATCCACAAAATAAACAAATATTTCAAAAGAAAATTGCTGAATGACTTTACCTTTATCTGATAGAATTCTAGAGCCTTTATCATTCAAAATTACATTTCAGAAAACTTTTCAATTGTGCATACGTATGTATACACATAAACATACCTCTGTGTGTGTGTGTGTGTGTGTGTGTGTGCGCGCGTGTATTTGTATATTTACCTAACTCATACCTCAGTTAATATGGTGATGGAAGGACAGAGCTATTTTTGACAGATTATGATTGGAAACTGAAATTACTGAAAAGTCATCTGAGAAAGCCTTGTCTAATACACTCTCCAGACAACTCTCAAAATCATAATATCTAAATTTTGTTTTCTAATTCAAAGGGCTGGATATCCAGAGGATTTGTTTTAGTTAAGCTCTGCAAGGTTCCCAGACCTATGAAAATCTGAATATTGCCTCATTCGGTAACTGCTCATTAAAATTTAAAATAGGCCAAAGGTCACCTTTGTACATTAGCTGTAAAATTCTACTCGTATATTGAGACTTGTCATTTAAAACTATTTCTTCAAAAACAACTTAGGTTACAATTTTGTTGCTAATACTAGAATAGTGGTTATTCAAATCCAATTTAAATATTTCCATCCTTTCTTTCTTCGTCATTACTAAAAATTTAGGCTTATTAAGAATACTAGATAGATAACTGTTCAGAGACTTAACGGCCTCCAGTATCCAAAAGACACTACAATTTAAAGGAAGTAGTGGCTAATAGATCTCTTTCAAAAAACATTTTTGGTTTTGGCACAGAACTGTTAGCTTAGCTGCATTATCTGTGCTTTAAGCCTTCCATCCTTTTGTAGTATTTTTCTCTGTAGTCTAGTCAGAGAGTCCTCTCACCGCAGTCTTAAGAATCACACTGGTCATAGCATAAAAATAGACCAACATTGCATCGGAGGGAGGGAAGGAAACACTTTCCCTCCAGTAGTAATGTAGCCATGGGTAAAATGACAGTGAAAGTGGAAGTAAGTAAATTGCTTTCCCTGATCTATTGACAACAGGATTTATTCATTTAAAATTCCTGTTGAATTATAATTATGGGATCACTATCTTCCTAGCTTTACAAATAACAAGTGGCAGCTTGGCAATTTGTTTTCACATAAAAAAGATTAAACAAATGCATCAATTATATTACAGTGTTTCCTATATCAGTAGATAAAGAATGGCTACTTGAAAGTAAAAACTACAGCTCTTTGAAAGATATTTTTCTACTAAAAAATTAAAATACTGTTCTGATAGCAATTTTCCAAATTATGTTATGACTAAAGACTCTTTTCAGTCTTATATTTGCTGTACCCACTTTCTAAAAAGCATGCTTTCACAAGAAGATGACAAGGAACAGTACCCTTTTGATATTTAATATAATCTGGGGGGGTCTGGTTATCCTGGCCTTGTTCATCACTGCGGTTTACATGAAGAGTAAGAGCAGTTCCTTTGGCTTTGTCATTCCATTTGGGAGCATTATGCTCTTTTTGATCTTGGCTGCGACAATTTTGCTGAGAGCTCTGTAGAAGCACACGGCTCTTCCCAGATTCTCCATTTGCAGTATTTGAACTCCTTGGCACAAAGAGAACTCCACTGGATCCATTTTGATCTGCATAATAATTGACATTGAAAAAGAGAAAAATTATTTTATTGCAAATGTTAACCATAAGAGTTATTCTTCTCTTCCTTCTTCATTCTCCTTTACTACATTGGATAAACCTACCTTTCTCTCTAAGCTGAATCTGTTTTTCTTGAATCCTGTTGTTCTGGTCTTGCTCGTGATTTGTGTGCAGAATCAGAACAGATTCTTTCTCATCCCATTCAAGAGGACTGTGCACTTCCTGATTTTCTGGCAGATGACTGCTTTTTCTGCTTTCTAAAAATCCTTTACTTTTTTCATTTTTGTGGGGGGGAAGACTGGATATTCTTGACCCGTGACCAAATCTACTAGCTTCTGCGTTAAAGCGATGCCTTTCTTGAGTTGATGATGATAATGGATAAACATCTTCAAAGTACTCCACTCCAGGTAATAAATATAATTCAGGATAAAGTGCCTAAAATATGCAGTATGTTAATCAGACATGAAAGAAGAAATGTGCAATGTAAAAAATTCCTGAAAATGGTAGTTTAAAAGCCATACAATACATACATAAGGAGGAGCAAATGATTTCACTTCCAGTTCTGCTTCTTGCTTTGCTTTCACCTTACAAGATAAAGAATGAAAATGTAACCAATAAAATAATTTTTGATTTAAACAGTAATGTTCACTAGTACTTAATTTATATATTCTGTCATCATCTTTACACGTTACACTTTTCGTACTCTCTTCTGGAATGGTCTGATGGGGCAGAAGCAACACAGAATACTATTTTGTTTTCTGACAGGACACTGAAACATTTTGTCTAGTTTTCAAACTTTAAATCAGACCCACAAGAGTACATGGATATCTGAATAAACATTTTTATCGTTTGCACTTTCTCTTATGGTTCAAAGGACGTGATCCAACTATCACAGCAAAAGAAGGTCTTCGACTGTCTTCACCAGAAGTTGCTTCATGTTGAATCTGAATAGAAATGATGAGTTTGTATGCTCTATTCAGCTTATACAACACTGCAAAATATTAAATATACATAAAGAAAATCCACCACTCTCCTAAACACTTCTATATATTTCTTCAGTTTTTTATCTTAATTTCCATTGTGTGATACAAACTTTCTGCTTTCAATATAGTTCTCCTGAAAAACAAAATCTAAGATAAACAACGTATATTTGATGCGCTCCAGCAGAGAAAATGAAATCTGAGCTTACATTTAAACAATGAAATAATTAAACTGAACTAAGGCCATGTTCTGCTCTCAGTTATGGCCAGGCAATGCCAGTGATTCATTGTTACACTCATAGGCTATATGAAAGAAAATGAAGAGCAAATGAACAACGTTTTGGTTTATGTTTATTTTTCATTAAAAGGTCCTTACTCTGCAAGCAGGGTACAGCTCTTAGTATTGCTTACACTGTTACTATTGTGAAACAAAAGCCTGGAAAAAAACTCAACAAATATTTGATCATGGAGATATAATTGCACGAGGTTACCATGACCCTAAACAACAAATAAACCACTTTGCTGGTTTATTGCTTTATTCTTCCTTGCAAAGTTAAATATCAAGCAATACTAAATCCCCTAAATTAAAACTGTATCTTTGATTTGTTGCTAAAATCTTCACTTGTTTCTAGTAATATCTTTAATTCTCTAATTAATAAAGAATTTTTTGTTATATTCTTGACATTCTCAATGGAGCTGCAAAATTTCTCCATTTACCTCAGAACTATCAGTGGGAAAGCAAATACTCAATTGTACTTAATATTACTCAGTTAAAAACACTTGAATTGTTTGAAAACATTTGCATATTTTTAGATTTACATCCTGTCACAGTCTATCAGTTTGTCTTCATGATTTTTCTAACTAATTTTTGCACATTATTAATATTTATTCTAGTCTTCTAGAGGGCAATTTTAGCGATGGCTACAAATGAGATAAAGAACCGCACCAAATTTACAGCTTGTAATTAATTTCCTAATTTGTGAGAGGCAGAAGTGAGTAAGAGGTGAAAAACGTATTCTGTACTTACACAAAGACTTAAGTGACATAAGTATTATGTAATAAACATTTAGACTGATTTTCAAGTTTATTTAATCTTTAGCTATAACTTTTAATATAACTAACTATGTAGGGAATCAATGTGAGGAACAGTTATGATTTAGAGATGCAGCTTTTTGATGGCATAAATCTCAGGCTGTATTACTGGACTAACTAGCAATCTATACACAGAGGAGTGTCCAGCCACAGACTGATCTTAGAGGCTATTGGGAAGGTCACAGCAGGAACCTTTAGAGGAATCTTGATATACTCAATTTTCATTGAAAAGTCTTCAAGTACCATACTCCTAACCATGTACTGGTAATATTGACCATAGTGGGGAACTTCTTGCATGCAATTAGATTTGCAATATTTAATTAATTTACTGATTTATCAAAACTGGTATCTTCCACTGGATGGCAAAAAATTATGCCTGATGCATGAAAAGGTGTTTCTAATATACCTGGCCAGCTGTGCCTGTGTTCGAAGAAGTAGTTCTGATAAGAGCTTACGCTCCAACATGTGTAAAAACAAATGCTAGCAGTGCTCCAAAAGTTATCCCTGTTTTCTTGTGATAGTATTTAATCTGCAGGATCTGCAGGACAGTATTTAATCCGCATTAAAAAGCAGAATAGCACTAGAGAAAAAAAAAAAGTATTAACTTACCACTGCTAGTTTTTTCCCAATGCATTTTAAAAATATAAATTTATCTGCAACTGCAACTCCACCCAGGTACTCTCCAAGCTTCTCCCGCAGCACTCTTAGTGTGATGTGAGGAGACACCCTAGAATGTTTTTATTCATTAGTACATCTGTAAGATCAAATAACGCCGGCTAGTTAGTAAGTGGGGGAAGATAAAGCTACATACACATTGGCTTGCATGAAGAGAATGACCAAAAATGGGAACTATATTCCTGGAGCTGAACTCAATTACATACAGGTAAAACAGTCTTGGTGTGGTAGAGTCAGGATATTGCATCAGATTATGGTAGACTGTATTACAAAGGCTGTGGTAAAATTAGCTGACAATATTCCTATTTTAGGAACCCATACAAAAAAAGAATATCAAGACCTGAAACTTGAAAACTTTATAATGCTTTTGCTCATCCGCAGATGAATAACAAAAGCAATGAAAACTATAGTAAAGCATTTTCATCTAGGTAGCAAAGTTACAGGGGGCTGGTCTAAGACTGTAGAATACACACTTTCAAGCACTATGCACTAGAAGAGACTTAATCGCTGTCCACTTTAAAGGCCAGACACAGTCCTTTGATTTTATCTCCTCCAATATAAATTTATAGCTGGGCGTGTGCATGTATGTACACATGCAAATGTATTTAAATCAAAATCAAACACTTCAGTGCAAACAATTCTACCATAGCTAGAGGACGAGAGAGAGCTGATGCAAATATGAATTACATCATTTAATGTACTATTGGAAACCATGCAAAGAGTAAAGTAATGAGCTCAGTATGAAAATCACTATAGAATAAAAAGCACCTCCACCGAATAAAACAAGATGTGCAAGAAGAATACACAAGTTCTTCAGTAGAACATAAGCAATTCTGGTTACCTCTATGCTGCGACGTAAAACGAACCAGGGAGCAAATTTAGGCAGCCTAGGACTTTTGATCACCCATGCGGCTTAAGTGCTGGTACACTGTCTAGCATGGTTTTGGCCCAGGCCAGCTATTACTCTTCAAGCAACGTGCAGACATAGTCTGGGGGATAGCACATGCCATTCTCAGTAACTAACAGCATAGACAAGAATGCAGCAGGTTCAGCTCCCTCCACTTAGGCTGGCCTTCAGTATTACCCCAGCAGGGTTTGCATTGTCAAATAGTCCTATGTGCCTTCATTTCACAGCCCAAGTATGCAAAAAATACTCTCAGTTTCAGCCTATAGAAGTTTCATCCAGTACTTCAAGGGGCTACAACGCTGCCCTTACATTATTTCAAAACCCTGAACTTAGAGGACCCTCCTCAAGATCGTAATTCTGCCCTGGAGCGCAGGACATGACAAAGGAGATTTAAGGCCAAGCATGCTGCAGAGTGGACACATGTAGGCCACACTGCTTGGTCTCTGTACATTTAACACCACTTATTTAGCCCCTGTTTACTGCTTCCACATCCTCTTTTTGCCCGTATCTGCTGCAGATGTTAGCCCTAATTTATTCATTTATTTCAAACGTATAAAGAAATATGTGAAGGAGGGATACATAATTCAATACACATCCTTCCGCGGCCTGATGTGAGCAGGCAGATGATCTGTCCTTCAAACATCTCTCATTCGCCATCATTTTTTCAAGCTCAGAGTAGATATGCCCCTTGCACTGTCCCCTGAAACACAATAAATGTAAGGTCCTTCACAGGGATTTCTAGAACTGAACGTCCTTCACTGATAATGCCCTTCCAAATTAGCAAGGAGACCTAAGAGCTGTATAAACAGTGGGGAATACATCTGATTCAAGTAACTATGATGTAGCATAGGAGAAAATGACTTACGTTATATAGCTCCTGAAATATACAGCAGGCATTTATCTGAAAATAGTCATCTTGCCAGTAAGGCTGCTAGGAACTAGGTATAATACTTTTCCCTTTTGCTGCCACTGGCTAACAGAAGCATAGTCACATCTACATCACTCGCTTCAGGGTGTTCCTCTACAAGTAATGCAAACTAGAGTTCATTGCAGCAACCTCATCTAGAAATAACAAGAGCATGGGTTCTGTGGTAAGGAATGAGGAATAAATAAAAAGATCACAGAGGCTGAGAAATCAAGTTCATGGGAGTGAGAACTTGGGGCCATAGACGATTACACACTTAGTCTTTTCCTCTAATTTTATGATTAATGGAAGTGTCCTCCACTTAGATCTAGGAATCCTTTGTTCAGCTGACTCACACAATACATTAGGCTCATGACTGGACAGTGCTATCGACAATCTTCCGACTTTCTTAGTACCAGCAAGATTGCTATTCCCTCTCCTAGATTATAATAAGAAAACATTTTAAAAATATTTTTTGTTTTTAAAGACTGATACACCAGCATTGTGCTAGTTTGCTAATACTAGCTTATTGTAGCATTGCATGGCACCCTAGAGAATTACTAATTAGCAAGTCCTCCCAAATGGCTATCTGAGAGCACACATAGCACATGCAGTTGCAGGCAACTGTTCAGAAATATTACTGAAGAGGAAAGAAGACATATGCTGGTGGTTGCATGGGCCGTAACGCTTCCCTTTTAGAAACATGACTTAAGCTATTTCTTCAGACTTCAAAACTTCATATACCGATTCCCGGAAAGTTACTGGCTCTTCTGAGATAGCAAGTCTTTTCATTTCTGCAGTGGGCCAGCTTCAAGACGAGAGACAGAATTTAAGATTCTGATAAGGAGGCTCAAGGAAAAAGAAAGAATATAAGACTATGATTTTACAATATAAATTATTCTTCAGCAATCCCACTTCAGTGGTCTAAGACCGTGGGCTGCAATGGAGCTAAGCCTGAGATAGTTCAAAGACACATAATGCTAGTCATAGGCACCGCTTACCCTCTGGAGATCATCAGAGAAGAGGTCTCTTTGGACAGACGTAATTTTACTCTGTAGAGCAACGGTGGTACCAATGACTGAAGGACAGTGCAGAGAAACTAACATGCATGTGAAGTGAAAAGTTTTATAGGTGCTGTCAGATTCTTGCCCAAGACTGCACTCACCTTATAAATCCAGCTGAGATGAATTTACTAGAAAGAGCTGCAGAAACTGTATTCAGCTTGAAGTTCCACACTTCTTCTGGGACATAAAAAACATGAAGCTCCACCAACTAAATCAAGTAAGAAGAGGTTATCCTAACTATAGATCTGCTATTAAATCCTCTTCCTTTCTGCTTTGTTTTCCTTAGCTGGACTTTCAATTTCTGGAGGTAGGAATTGTTTCTTTGCTGTTAGTACGTGGACTAGAACAAACTATGATGTGCTAGATGACAATGATGCTCAGAATAAATTTTGATTGAATTCCAACTGACAACAGGCTCACCATTGAAATAATTCACGTTAGAACAAGCTCAACAATAAAAATGAGAAAAAAGACAAGTCTATGCTCCTGTAGCATGTCACTGTGACAGCAATGGATAGAGTTTACCAAAAATAGTTGATCCTCTGGAGTCTATGTCATGGATATTTGAATACTTCATCTAAAATCCCAGCCTTGTTCAACTCATAAAAACCGCAAAGCCCTAAAAGCCTGATCCAAATGTAGTACAAAGCCCCATAACGAGACCTTGTAAGCAAGAAAAAATTTTCAAAATATTTCTCACAGATGTTGATAATATTAGCCATGTTGGAATCACACAAGTGCTCTTGCTAATGTCTATGACAAGAATAACTCGGCCTGCTCTGAAAAAGTTCACTTAGATTATGCCCAAACGTGTGACAGCCATGGGACTATTAACAGCTGGGTCTTGATATTTTTGGTGGTGAAACTAAAATTGTATTAGCAAAGATAATAAATTTCTGAAAAGCTTTCCCTATAACTAGAAGCCATGCAAATAAGCTACATTAAATATTTCTGCAGTTGTTGAATTACTAAATATAAACAAGACAAGAATCATTTTTATGTTTACTCTGTTGAAAGAATTTTTTTTTCTCTCAAGTCTTCTAGAAATGTTGCAAGGTTGCTTATTTGGTATTTTTTTAGTTTTATTTAAGAAATCAAAACTTTTTTTTAGAAAAAGTATAAGAACTCTCACCTGTGATGTTGGAGGCCTTGTTCGACTGAACAACATACTGATCACCGTACTTGGCCACAGTGAATTCCAGATGGACTTTTTAATTTTCTTTTTGATCTAAGCATTCTTTAAGAACGAGTTCCACAATAAATCTGTTATGAGAGAAGTTATGCATTAATGTTCCTTATTTTCATTTACTTTTCTTGTTTTCCACTTATGGGAATAAAAAAGCTGTTTCCGGACTGAGGCCGAAAGCTTCTAGCTAACTGTAGACAAACAGGTTCACCACACCTTCTACACAAGCGAGGATCACCTAAGTAACTCGGTGAATGGCATAATCACAGCCATGCAGCTCTGCAGGGATCTGCCCTGGAGTACTTCCTCCAACATTCTTTGTCCTTTAATAAAAATACTTCAGTTGTATTTAATTTTCTATACAACTGCATCAGGTATCTAAAGACACAAAATAGGATTCTTGCAAGGTCTGGCGTTATCTTTAGTAAGAGGACAATTATTGTGCACTGAAGCCAAGTCATTCATATACCTCACATTTCACATGGTGAAATATGGAATATGGTATTCCAAAGAAGCTTGACTGTATCAGACAACCATGTTGGAAAAATCCTTTCATAAGCTACTCTGGTTCCACCCTACTGTTTGGGGGATTTTCCTCAGCACTCTCATTTGAAGGCTATTCCAGAACCTCACTACTCTGTCGCTTACAGACTTTCTGAGTTTCAGCCTAGCTGGATGTCCTCCACAGGTATAAAGTCACCTGCTGTGCATGTGCCAATGCTGGCCTTTCACATGAGCAGCTCTTCTTCCCTGGGTTTATCATCAGTCATACCTCCTCTCCACTTTCGCTTTGCTAGTTTAAACACGCCATACACTTTGGTAAACAAGCCTTCTGCTCTCCTTACCATCTTAATGGCTCCTCCTTGCATCCCTTCTGGTTCTCATCCACATTTTCTTGAACATTATGTGACCAGACCTTCCAGATGAGGTCCCACAGTGGAATTATGGCCTGCTCATCTCCATAGGAAACATCTACTTAAAGGAGACTATGTCCTTTTCAGGACTGTACTGCAACGAGCATCCACACACCACCTGGCTAGCACGTCCAGTCATTTCTCCCCAGCTAGTCTCAACCAAAGACATTCCAGGTTGTGGAAGAGATTCTTATTAGGCCTACACAGATGCAAGGACCAAATAAGTCCTTGCTGGCAAAAGTAAACTTAACAATTTCATTCACTGTGCCTCAAAATAACCTTCAAACTAGTAACTCACTTAAGAGTATCAACCAGATTTCATAGCTTGGACTTAATATTGTTTTCTCATCTAATGTGCCATATAGATAATGAAAAAAAGTCACATTCTTGTGTTTCCTTAATTTCAAGGGCCTTTTCCGCAGGAATCAATTAGTCGCTTACCACAGAAACGTAGGATCCCCCGATCGGACACGTGGTGGGAGTACTTAGGACTCCAGGATCACGAACTGCATTTCCCGAGTAATTTAACCTTCCCGGGAAATACAGGACTCGAAGTGGAAGAGCCATAACCCACTACCCGTAATGAGAACCCTGCACAGCGTGTTTTTTTGTCAGGTGTGGCGGCGAAGCCCTCGCAGAGCCGCCCTGGCCGCCGCCCGGCAGCGGGGCCGCCGCGGGGGCCGCCCGGAGCC